CTTTGTATGACACCTTCGCCTTCTACATGGTATTTGGGCCGGGCTGGTAATAACTGGAACCATGTCTTTCCCTGCCGAAATGCCATACATGTGGGCTGGGTCTTGCTGGTTTTGAACCCGCGTCCTAACCACCCTTTTTATTTATTTTTTTATTAATTTTTTATTTTGATTACACAACATAAGATATCCTCTCCTATCATTTATCCTATCCACTCGTATATTATGTGAGTTAAACTCAAGATATTTTACTTCCAGCAAAAAGATATTATTACTGAATTATTTATATTATTGGCTAACCACCCATTTTTTTAAATTAAATAAATCAAAAAAATTAGTTAGATTAAAATATTGTTAAAATTAGGCAAAAGGTGCAGATCACCCCCTAAACTCAACAACTGGTGGCAAATCACCCCCTCAACTTACTTCACGCACAAATCAACCCCTCAACTCACCTGCAGTGGCAAATCAGCCCCTCCCTTAATGTTTCTGTTAACATTTAACAGTTTGCTCATCAACCCTTCCTCTGGGTCTGATGTGGCCTTGTTTTTGCTGAGATGGAGGTGCCACCTAGATAAATACCCCAAAATCATCAAATTATTCAAATTACCTTTATGCCCTTAAATTGTTTAACGAAATAAAATTGGGGATTTGGGGATCTGGGGTTTTACTTTTGCTAGCTTCTATCGTCTTCTTCCCCTCCTCGTCCTTTCAAAAATTAAACACTGTTTCTTTAAGATTTGCAATTCATCGAGCGTCACTTCTTCATCAAGCTCTGAATTGTCAATGAAATTACCATATTTTGAAGAGACATTGCTGTACAATTTTCTTCAAAATTTGAGGGTCTCGGAGTCGGCCTCTCTTGATGATTGAACAGGGTATAAATCGGCTGGACCAAAGTTGGACTGTCTTCTTGGAACCCCTGAATTCCCATCATGGAATAGAAATCGGAATGGTTGAAATTCGAACCTCTGGGCGTTGGATTCCGGGATGAACTTAAGCTTGTATATCTCAACACCGGTAAGATTGGATGGCCGTGGCGTCATTGCGAAGGAACGACGAGAAGTGTTTGATTTCCTCAAAGTGACATGAAGCTTCCCGTCTTCTACAATTTCAGCATCAATTTCCAGAAATTCCCGTCCATGGAGTGAGACAATGTCGGAATCCACCTTGAAGGAGACAATCGAGTGGCAGTCTTCGAGAACTGCTCCATGATCAGGATCTTGGCACCACGGTGCTCGAAGAGAAAAAGAAGCAGAGTGTACTAGATGATGCATTGGAGAACCGCCACCAGGACCATAAGGCCGCCGGAGTCCTGGCCGTACATGGCGATCAACAGTGGAATGCCTATGACCAGAGTATTAGGCAGAGTAGAGAGTGAGAAAATGGTTATCATCCACTCCAAGCTTTCGTTTCTAGTGTATCGGTGATAATCTTTTGAAGTGTATCGATGACAACGAACCTGTAATTCATTTTGTACGGATTGTTGGTGGAAATAAAGTGGAAAGACGAGCGGGACAGTGAATATGGTGACGAAACAGTTGATGCCAGAGTACCGGTTCGACGAGAAAATCTTCCACTAGCACACCGACCCGTATGCCAAGATCATCGCTACATAAAGTGGAATCACCGCCTTCAAGACGGTGGACAAATCCTTCCAAGAAATCATTTTTCACAAAAAAAAAGAAAA